AAGTAGAAATTATTGAATGGTTTCCTTTTCATAGATTTTCAAGTTTTTCCAAGATGATCAGAGTGTGCGCTTGGTGTTTGCGCTTTATAAATAAGTGCCGAGAACCTCGTGTTTACAATACTTATTTAACGGTCGAGGAATTGAACAGGGCCAAGACTTGCTTGCTCAAACTGTCTCAGGAACAATCCTTTCACGAGGAACTGCGCAATTTAAAGAAAAATGGGGAATGCAAAGGTGGTAAGTTACGAAAATTTAATCCCTTCCTTGGTTCTGACAATATCCTTAGGGTCGGGGGTAGACTCCAACTTTCTGGAGCACTCTATGAGAAAAAACATCCTGCGCTTTTGTGTAGTTCTCATATATTTACAAAATTACTTTTCTCAGAACGACATGGTAGTCTTCTTCATGCAGGCCCTCAGCTTTTGCTGGCATCGCTTCGAGAAAGCTTTTGGCCAATTGGGGGGAGAAATTTAGCTCGAAAAACTGTTCGTACATGTTTAAAGTGCTTTAGGAACTCCCCAGTGCAGCAATCTCCTATTATGGGAATTCTACCACGTGAACGCGTGGTACCTGCCCCTCCTTTCTCCAGTGTAGGTGTGGATTATGGAGGACCTTTCTTAATTAAAGATCGTAAGGGCCGTGGAGCGAAAAAATCTAAGTATTACATATGTCTTTTTGTTTGTTTATATAGAGCTAGTCACTGAATTGATGACCGAAGCATATTTAGCAGCCTTCAGAAGGTTCACTGCTAGGCGAGGCAAAGCAGTAAATGTTTACTCGGATAATGGGACAAATTTTGTGGGTGCGCGCAACGAACTTAGAGAGTTGGGCCTTTATCTGAAACAAAATCAAAATTATTTGTGCGAGTCGATCGAAAATGATAATGTGTCGTGGCATTTCATCCCGGCATTAGCTCCACACTTTGGTGGAATCTGGGAAGCCGGAATTAAGTCATGAAAAACTCATTTAAAAAGAACTTTAGGTGATGCTTGTTTGACATTTGAAGGATTGTATACAGTTTTAACGGAAATCGAGGCCATCCTCAATTCTCGTCCCCTTACTCCCATTTCCAGTGATCCTAGTGACCTCACGGCCTTGACTCCCTCCCATTTTTTGATCGGCAGACCACTTACCTCATTGCCCGAACGCGACTTGATGCCCATACCAGAGAATCGTCTGTCTTACTACCAGAGGCTTCAACAATTGAAACAGCACTTTTGGACTAGGTGGTCTCTCGAATATATTTCGGAGTTGCAAGTGCGATCAAAGTGGCACAAAAACCTTGAAGTGCTTCGTCCGGGTGATCTAGTGCTTGTAAAAGATCATAACCCTCCCTCACAGTGGTCGTTGGGGAGAGTTGAACAAGTGCATCCGGGACCGGATGATGTGGCAAGGGTCGCGACCGTGCGAACCCCAAAAGGATTCTTTAAACGAGCCTTTAGCAAACTATGTGTGTTACCAATCAACTGAATTGTAAAACCATATATGGATTGTACGGTCTATGTATTTAGGTTAGCACTCTGTCATATTGAAATACTTAAGTTACTTATGTCATGTTTTGATATATTTAAGTTTGAAAACCTATGACTTTCAAGGTCGGGGGTATGTTGTGGCCGACTTGTTTTATTTTGTAGTTTTTAGACGTGGCAACAATGTAAGTTGAGTATTCAGCATTCGCATATCTAACCGCCGACGTTTATGTACGTGCTCTGGGAAAAATACAAAGCTTGTGAACAAAATCGTGTATTAAACCCCAAAACCTCAAACAAAAACCAAACATATGTTTTTATCTGCAAAACTGTAATAGTAGCATAACTAGCAGATCTGTATTTCAAAACGCAGTATTTGAATTTAGTAAATTGAATAATTATTATATTAAACAGTTTTCGAATTTAATAATGTTCAAGGTGAAATTAAACAATCAATTTATGAGTAGTCAAAATGCATAGTGATGTAATTTTAATAGATAAGAATGTAGAATTACAGAAAATGGATTCAAAAAAATGTGTAAACGGATAATTATACAGAATTGATATTAATTACATGGTGCAATGATGCAATTTTATTTTCTAACATAAGTGTATGGATGCCAAATTATGTTTTGTGGCTTTTAGAAAGTGAGGTGTAGGCTATGAAATTTTTACTACAATTTGATGACAACAATGATAAGTTCAAATTGGTTGGAGTGTTTCATTTAAAAAACGCGTTTGTAGGGAATTAAATTCATCACGTTTCTTTTATAAACCTTGTCATACAGTGAATATGTCAAGAAAATTAAGGGTAAATATGACAAGAAAATTAAGGGTAAAGTTAGATTTAAGGTCATTTTCGTTTATAATGGTTAAACTAACAGCTCAAGCGCTTAAACGATTCTTATCCATTTATGTAAAGAATTGAGTGATTCTTCAAGTGTATATTTTCGGATACTTTATGATGTCAATGCAAGTCGCTCACTTGCACCAGTCTCTTTGTTGGCTATTTTGTCTCGGTACACTCAGCAACCGTTGCAACGATTTTAGTGGAAAGGGAGTAATGTAATAAACTAGTATTATCTACTACATCTCCTCCTCCAGTAAAATCGGTGAAATTAGTCAGTGACAAAATCGTCAATACACCGACTGATGGAAGTGAGTGACTTGATCTTCATAATGAAAAAAATCAGAAATTATCAAAAAATATTAATTTTCCATGTTTGCACGTGGTAGTATTCTTGGTCATGGGTAATGATTACGCAGTCATTTCATGCGAAATAATGTTACATGCCGATTAAGTGGACCACGTACATATGTAGCGCCAGGACTTTGTCGTGCGGCTGCTCTGATAAAATTTTCAAAATTCCCTCCTTATACTTTAAGAACCACCAAAATGTCGAAAAAACGTAGGTGATCTTTTTTGTACCAAATTTTATTATTTACAAAACATGCCAGTTAGGTTCTTAGTTTAGCCATTATAACCAAAAATATCATTACATGTACCTTTACCCTTAATTATCTGGTAACCTGTTCACCAATACAAGTTTTTTAAAATCAAAATGATGGACCATTTAATTAGCCCCAAAATCGTTTCTATATTACCTTTTTACATAGGATCGATTGTCTTCGATATTTTCAATTAAACGCGTTTATCAAAATGACGGCAAATACTCCAGCCCTGTTATGATGCCAATTTCAACTTGTCATAAGGAAAGCAATAGTGCAACGATATCACTAAAAAGTTACCGTCGCCCAAACTGTAAAATTTCCTTATACATAATCTCCCTATTTAATGCCAAAGACTGTCAAAACATTAACAACTTCATGTTCCCCAAAACAGTAAATGACTTTCCTGGAAAAACGTTTAGCAAATCGTCGATGAAACCAGAAAACCGTGTCCATTTTTATCAAAATCGAGGTTTTAGCACCATCTGTTGGCGAACGTCGATTGCTATCGGCAGTAAAAGCCGTGTATCTCCTAACGTAATTTAAATGGAGCAAATAGCGCGATTAGGAATCTGTGTAACTCCATACTGCTCAGAAACGGCGCGAAAATTGTGTATCTCCATCTGTCCCTATAGTGTAGTACAGAGTTATGTTGACGTCGTCTAAAAGTGCTCACTTCTTACAAAATAGTCCATAAATATTGATGTTGTGGTTACATGCTACAAGGTAAGTTCTCAATCATGCGTTTTTATACCACAATTAGTTCAATTGGATAAATATTCCTTAGTTTAAGACATCATATTTTTGGATCTGGAGATACACAATTTTCTGTGAATAAAAACTAACGTATTATTGGAGATACATGTTATGCAAACATTTAAAAATCAAGAAATTTCTCTTGTTGCAGAATGTCACGTGGATTAAAAATTCTTGTAATGTTGAATCTGGATGTCCCGATGGCTGCCATTTTACCAGAAAATAATACAAACGTTGTTGGAAATAAAATTGCTTTCGAATCCTCTAGTCCTACTACTAAATCAGGACATGGCACAACTTTGAACAGACATTTCTGATGTATTAACTGAGGCAATTAACAACGGCATCATATTTGACTGCAGTCAAGTGGCTGCTAGCCAATCTTATTCACAAGATAACGATTTGTTTCCAAGTTACCATAATGTGGATGAAAGCTTATTGGAAAGTAGTTTAAGACCTGCTGATGATGAAGCACAAAGTTTTGATCAGTTGTTGAATGAAGACCGTGCTAATATCGCCATATCTATTGAGAGTGATTCAGAAAATATAAATTATTTGAATACATCGTGTGGATCTATTGAAGGACAACTACATACAAATGATCAGCTTAGTGATGCTAAGTCACAATCTAAATCGAAAAAACGTAAGCTCCCAAATGGCAGGAGGGATGCCTCTTATGAGCACAATAAGGTCCAAAGACAGCTAGGATTGCCATATAAAGGTAAAAAAAAGACTGCCAACAAATGGGATTATGAAATAAATAAGCCGGGTAAATTTTTATCAGATCCTTGCAACTGCAAGTTGTCTGATAAAAAGACTAAATTGGAGTGCCGAAAGCTGTCAGAAAAAGAAAGAAAATCACTTTTCAAGTCCTTTTGGAAAAAAACCTGGCCAGAAAAAAGACAGTACGTTAAATGTTCGGCAAAACTACACCAAGTCAAACGCCGATCAGTCGCGGAGGAATTTTTCGATCACCTATCACCTAGAAATTAATTTTGAATCGTACCGAGTTTGCAAGAAAATGTATAATAACACCCTTGGACTTAGAGAAAACTGCGTGCTTTCCTGGATAAAGGTTGACCTAGGTGGCATAGCTGATGATGAAGTACCACAGTCTTTAAGGCCCGACTTCACCAAGCGAGAGCTGTCGGCGGGATAGCTACCGGGCCGACAGCTTACCGCCTGATTCTTGTCGGAGCGGTAAGGTTCGTGCGTTTCACCACGCATCTTCGGGTTGCCGGGGCGGCAGCGAACCGGCCGGTATCTATCGGTGCAGCGTAGACATTTAGCGCATAATTCTAGTGTGCCGTGCCTGCGTCCCAACGAGTTCCGTGTTCCGTGGTTGTAAATAATATGTTTGTAAAGTAAACAAACAGCATCATGGCGAGCAAGAAGGGCGGCATCAACAGGTCTAAAAATTTTACTGCTGGTGAGCGGTCACTGTTCGTGGACGTTATCTTACCCAAATTTAAAAAAGTCATTGAAAACAAGAAGACCGACGCAGTGACAAGAAAGGAAAAGGCTGACGCTTGGACTGCTTTGACGGCGGAGTTCAACTCGCTGTCAGCAGTACACCACCGCTCGGAAACCAGTTTAAAAAACTTGTGGGACACCTTAAAGAAGAATGCGAGGAAGGCCAGAAGCTCTCACAGGGTTGAATCGTTCAAAACTTGTTCGTATATATATATATATATTCAGTATAGTATTTTTCACGAGTAATCAGAATGTCAACCACGACAGCTAATTGCTTAGTTGTATTTCTAAATTCTCCATAGTTCTAGTACACTACAGATTGATTTTGCAATTTACATTTGTTATTATTGCTTTTATTAAGAAACGTTAGTAGTAGAGTAAGGGTCACTTGAGCGTGGGAAAATTTTGCAGACCGTGGGAAAAAGCGGTATCCTTTGATGTTTGGGCGGCATCCTTTGATGCGTGGGTGGTATGTGCGATATGGGAAATGATGAAACCTATGATATACGGACTTGAGTGTGGGAAAATTTTGCGGACCGTGGGAAAATTATGTGGACCGTGGGAAAAGATGGCATCCTTTGATGCCTGGGCGGCATGCTTTGATGCGTGGGCGGCATCCTTTGATGTGTGGGTGATTTATGGATTCTGGTAATTTATGGATTCTGGTGATTTATTGATTCTGGCGATTTATTGATTCTGATGATTTATTGATTCTGGGGAAAGAGGCAGCATCCTTGCTTGTGTGAAGGGTCATTGATCTTATACTTGCTGGTAGGTACAATGAATGAATAGTTATTGCTAATATACCTGAAACAGAAAAAACAGCAGCCGGCATATGTTTCGAACTCGGAATCTCTTGCGTGCAAAGCCAGCACTCTACCACTGAGCTAGAACGAATCGCTGCAAATGATTTACTGAAGGCTGATAAGTGCCAAGGCACACGCATCGTACCAGTGACGTAATAAGTAATTGCATCTCGCAAACAGATGCTACGGATGAAATGTACCTGAAATAGAAAAACAGTGGACGGCGTGTGTTTGGAACTCGGGACCTCTTGCGTGCAAAGCCAACGCTCTACCACTTAGCTAGAACGAGTCGTTGCAAATGTTTTACTGAATGCTGTTGAGTATCGATCCGCCGCACCTGCATCGTACCAGTGTCCACAAAAGTAGATAGTGGTTCACTGTGGTCGACCTTATCGGTGTTGTTGTGTTCGCGTACGGTTGTGATAATGATAGTAAGGTGTAGTGTACAGGGGGGGGGGGTCAAGAATGTTTTATACAGGGGGTGAGTCAAACGTGCGTGACATACGTCATTTATGCCGACATCCAGAGTAGGTACTCTCCCTCAGTGAGGTACACCCTTTCAACTACACTTGCTTGTGGTCGATGAGTAGGTGCTGTAATGATTAATTTTGTACTCTTCCATCAACTTCGTAAAATCACTATTGTAGAATTCTTTACCCAAGTCTGTTTATAATTTTTTTGGAATTGACTTCATGTGCGACAGAATCGCCCTCATTGCAGTTGTAACATCTTTTTCCGGTTTTTCGTTTGACTGGTTCTGCCCACACAAATTTACTAAAAACGTTGATGACAATTAAAATATATCGGAATCCTTTGTTCACTTTCTGATACGGAAGCATTTCCACCAAATCTGCCTGCAGGAGATCGTTGACCCCCTTCACAATAACGCGCCGACGTCTATAATTTCGGCGAGCTGTTTTATGAAGTTCTTCAACAACCTGCTTTTTAAAGTCCATCATTGTTGTATCAATGGACAGCGCATTACAATATTTGCTATAAGCTGCTCTGGTCTGGGTTCTTTAGATGTGAAGAAATGGAGAATATCACCTTTCGTGAGAGGTGTGTTGTCGGTGAGACTATTTAAACCAATTGTCACTCTTAATTTTGGCGGAACATTTATACTATCAACTATCCCAGTCACATGAACGATGTAGTCCTTGCTTTTGTCTTTAAATGTGTAAAACTGCTCGCTGGATGTGGAGGAATAAATGGGTACCACACATACGCTAGATAGGTTGGATCTTAGAAAAGTACTGAAGATTGCAGCAGTGTCCGTCTTCTTTGAGCGGAGCATCTGTCTTCCAAATTTATCAATTGGCATCTTGATCCTACAACTGCAGCAATGTAAATAAAGTAATATTACGTTACAAATTCATTTTATAATTTTTAATTCACATAACTCCTCAATTATAGACATAATCTCGTTACGATGTCCATTATTACCAGCATACTGTGAAGCTAACAACAAACGTAAACGAGCAACCAATTCATTTGGATCATCAAAATAGATGTAGTCGATTGGTTTATTTGATAAGTGGAGCATTTCTTGACCTGTTTGTTTGAATGAGTGTGTTCGTCGTAACTGACTGTTAGGAGGTGGAGGTTTCTCAAAGGAGCCGGACCTGAGTATGCGCTGCTGCTTTAGAATGTTATGGTCGAATTATATTTCGATATTTGTAGGACGTACTACCATGTATTTGAGTATCAGGTTCAAAATTTCTGCGATATGCGTTTGTGCGACGTAGCATATCCATATACTGATCTAGATCACTCTGCTTATAACCAATTGGTTCTTTTTTGAAAAGCAGTTCATATAATCCAGGTGTGCCAGGATATGTTACATTTTCCACCACGATATTTGCTCCGTCTAGCGTAACCGGACTTTTACCGAGTTGAAACTTGTCAGAAACAATATCATGTGTTAATCCATAATAACGATCAAACTCGCGCTCGTTCCCACGAATTGACTCATCAACATATTTTCGAGGTACAGGGTGAAAGCCTTCAAGATACTCTTGATATGCAGGTGTATCAATTAGTTGGTGGAATTCTTGCGCCACTCGAGCCACGCTTTCATTGATTTGCTGGTTTTCTGTCTCAAACACCGTAGCATTTGGAGTAAGTTCTTCAACCGTAGATACATCTTGACTGCGATGTGGCTCCGGGAGGTTTGAATATGCATCCTCGAGAAAGCTGTAGTTGACAGGTGGTAAATATCGCTGGTATAAATTTTCTGACAATTCTTTATTGAATGATTGTCGTTTCTTCGGTGTGGATGTCACTGATGGGGGTGTAGATTGTTCTTCTTTGATCTGCAATTCTTGTTTAAGTCCTTCAACTTTTGATAAGAGTTTTTGAAACGGTTCTGAGATCGGCTTAAACTGTTGCTGTAATTCCCTTTCCGTTGCTGCAATATCTGATTTAACTGTGAGATACTTTTGTTTAACCGCTTTCCTGGTTTTGACTAGTTCTTTGGCCAGTTTTTGATCCATCTGACTACCTGCGATGTTATATAAGTACTACCCTAAGATTTGCACAGAGTATAGTTATATATATATTACTGTTACAAATTTATGTTGCTGCTAAAACACTTTCTATACCTGCCTCCCTGTCTTGGAGAATCTTTATCAACCACTACAAAGCTATGTGGTTTTTGCCAACACAAACTGCACAAGCTTTTAAATTCGTTGAAAGACATGTCTAGGCTGATATGATCATCATAGATATGTTTCAGATTCAAATTGTCTTGAGGAAATAGTATGAGTAGGTTTATGTTATCCCTTAAGTTATGTTTGGGTGCGGCAGTATGCGTTTGACAAATATAGAAACAATCTGTATTACGATGTCTTCAAAACTGAAATATTGTCTTATTATATCCTGATTACATGATGAAACGTCGTCAAAAATTATTACGGAGTTTGGTTTAATGTTTTCTTATGTCGCAATGTTTTCATCTTCACTGTATTCATAATACCCTATTTCGCGAAGCGGTGTTAGTAGTCCATCAAAATTCGTCACAGGTACTTGTACGGCTGATGGTTCGATCTTCATTCTGATAGCCTATAAATTGTACTGACATCAATACTTCTAGCACAGTCTACTATATATCTGAGAACCGTTACTTGATAGAAGCATATAAAATGACTGCTTGTCGTGCGAGGAGAAACAGTCACAAACCGACCGTTACAGTGCGTGGTACGGGTTTCATAAATAAACTTATCGATAAACTACCACTTGAATTGCACATCCCGGGGATATAATTTCTGTGGACCTGGAACAAATTTAAAGCAACGCATTCAGAGGAATATACAGGAATTAATCGCTTAGACGAGGCCTGTAAGCAGCACGATCTTGTTTACGCTACCTCCAAACAAAGTGACATTCGTCGTAAAGCCGATAACTTCTTAATTGATCACGCCCTCAAGCGGGTTGCTGCATCGGATTCATCGCTTGGTGAAAAAGTAGCTGCACTGGGTGTCTCAGCTGTCATGAAGATGAAGCAGAAATTGGGTAGTGGCATGAGTCGAAAAAAGTTTTCTTCTCGTATTCGCAAGCCACAACGCATTTTAGGATTGCGAAAAAAAGTAATAAGCGGACAAGGTCTCCGTAAAAAAAACGACGCATCACATAAAAGTCGAGACTTTTACCGATACCTAAAAAAGGGCGATTCTTACCTATCCTCCTTCCCCTACTTGGTGCGCTAGGTGCACTTGGGGGTGGAGCGTCGTCAATTGCCAAAGCAGTCTCGGATGCGAAAACCAATCAGGCTCAGCTGACTGAACAAAAACGTCACAACCTAGCGTTAGAACAATCTAAACAAGGAAAAGGGTTATATTTGGCACCTTATTAAAAACCGCTAAAAAACTCCCTCGTCATGCTCTTACTAATATAGAGTTACTTCAATTGGCTAAACAACTGATAATTCCAAAATTTAGCGGAGTTTTCATGAGAGATGATTTAACGCATCGAATTAGAGCTAAAAAATGCGGTATTATTAATTTAGATAATTCATCAGGTGTTGGATCCCACTGGACTGCATACGTAAAAAACAACAATCATGTCACATACTTTGATTCATTATGGTAATTTACGCCCTCCCATAGAAGCTGTGCATTATTTTCGCAGCAATCATGATGTCTCTGATATTCAATACAATTATGAGTCCATTCAATCATTCAACTCACATAATTGTGGTCAGCTGTGTTTGCGTTTCCTATATAAAGCTAGTGCAAGGTTCAATCAATGAATATTATCGTCCACCTTTCAACGCATACATCATGTCGATGACATTTACCCTTTCTGACAATTCTTCTACGCTTCAAGCTGACTTCAATCCTCCAATATATCTTTCAGATGATGATGCGTATGAATTTGGGTTGTGTGACTTTGAATC